ACAGAAAGCATTGCAATGTAGAATGCTGCAATACACACACAGAAAGCATTGCAATGTAGAATGCTGCAATACACGTGCACAGAGCACTGTATGATAATGTATAACATATATAGATTTTAACAATATAACAACCCACCATTATAACAACCATGTACTGTATACGCTGTATATTTCGCGGTGGTTTAATTTTTCGCGAATTTCGCAAACGCGTCCCCGACCGCGAAAACGACAACACCCTGAATAATTCATAATTCACCGACTGCGAAATTAACCACTCGCGAAATTTTCCGTCAAGTCTGAATTCGCAAAAATATCTGTACGCGAAAAATATGGCGTATACAGTATAACATAAGAACGTAGAATATGTGCGCATGGAAATGAGCCATTCTAGCGAAGATAAACGGAAAATCTGTACAGAGGCGCCCCCCTACCACTGGATGAAAGCGAGCAGAGCGCCATCTGTCTTGAAATTCCGGCGGCGGTCGGTCAGCGGCAGTAGCGCGTTGCCCTCGTACGGTGGCGACCTCAGCGTGCGGTGGCGGATGTCGAAAACGGAGACGTACTGCTGCAAGAAGACAAGCGAACGGCGTTCGGGCGAGGACCGAAAATAGCGCGAGCGCATGGCGGCGCCACCTGGGGCCGGTTCGCCGATGAGAAAAATGCGACGGCACGAGAAAAACGCTTCGACGACGTTCGCTGGAAACGATGCTAAATGACAAGTGAACAGTGCTGGAAACGATCTACGAAAACAAGCGAACAGCGCTGGAAACGACACTCGAGAAACAAGCGAACAGCACCGGAAATAACCCCACAGAAACCAAGCGAACGGTGTCGGAAACAACACTCAAAAACAAGCGAACACCTAAAAACTCCCCCCCCCCAAAAACAAGCGAGTAACGTCCCCGCGCTCGCAAAGACAAGCGAACAGCTGTCAGCGGGCGATCGCCGACCTTGACCTCTGGCTCACCTTGACCGTCGGCGGGACGACGGCGTCGAGGCTCCCCTCTCCGGAGTCCGGAACCCGGAGTCCGACGAGACGGAAGTATCCGAGGTCGCCCAGCTTGAGACGCTTGGTGTACCACGGCACGACGCTCTTACTGCAACACATGTATATATGTACATGTATATATATATA